TCACTGCCCAACCCAATGCATAAAGAAGTTGCCACAGAAATTGTGAGCGACACAATCGACATATTACATTCATAAAAGAGTAATAACACTGCAGCAACACAAGAATAACACATCATATACACTATAGTAACACAAGAATAACACATCATATACACAGCAGTACACAAGAATAACACATCATATATACAACAGTAACACAAGAAAAACACATCATATACACTGCAGTATCACATGAATTGAATTTATAAATTGCTAACACTTGTTCGAATTTATCAGGTTCGACATTTCTCGAAATATGCTGGACATGCTTTTAGTTCTGACATAAATAAGTGAAAACTGACTTGTCCTCGTAATGTCCCTACTCAAAGTAACAACCACAACTGTGGAATGTTTGTATGCAAGTATATGGAAACCATAATAAAGTCTTAGAAAATTGAATGTAAAGCTCACTTGAACTGGCAAGATCAAATGGTAGGATTTATGACACATTTTGCCTATGCCATTTGCATGTGGGCTCGTAAAAAATCGTAAATATATGTCGTTGAAGAATATTTTTTTGTAATAGGGTGGAGGGAGTGTTTTATTGCAGCTGAACCTATATTTGACTTTTGTACATATCAATTATTTATATTTGACTTTTGTACATATCAATCAGTTATATTTTACTTTTGTAATAATTATTTTAGTGTATTGAGATCTATATTATTGGTTATTGTCTTATTTTTCATACTTTTGAACTTATGTCTATTTTCATTAGTTATTGGAATATTTTTTATTATTTACATACATAGGGTGATATCCCCCATATTAGATAAGAATGCATTTAATTTGCGGTTATTAACAGCTAAAACTTGTACTTGTAGCTTTAAAATTTAAATAACGCAGCGGAAATAAGATATAACACGGTTAAAAGGTAGAATAACACAATGGAAAGGAAAAATAACACATCGGGTGGCGATAATAACGTAAAGTGAATATTCTCCTTACGTTAAGTGCATCTGATAACATAAATAATGCGCTGATTAGAATAAATAACGCATCGGCTTGGCAAAATAACGCAGCCGCAATGTAAAGTAACACGGGGGGACGCGCTGATTAGAATAAATAACGCGTTGATTAGAATAACGCAGCCGCAATGTAAAGTAACACGGGGGGAATATTCCCTCTGAGTTATGCTCGTTTAAATCGGCAGCGGATGACATTAATAACACTCTCCAAGGCGGAATAACACAGTGCGGAGGGAAAGTAACGCAGCGCGGAGGGAAAGTAACGCAGCACGGAGGAAAAGTAACGTGAGGAGAATATTCCTGCCATGTTACCGCCTTTTAATCGTCCGCGTAACATAGGAGGAACCGAAATAAGATGGTAGGAATATTCCCACCGCGTTACGGTCAGGTTAGTCGGGCCGAGGAATGGGTTTTCGTGTTATTTTTTAATATTTCTCATGTTACAAAGGTGTTATGCATGTGTTATTTTACTGTTCTTCGGGTGAATTCGGCAAATGAATGTGTTATTGGACAGTTGTATACATGTATTGATGTTATTAATGCGTTATTGGGTAGCTCGGGTAGCTCTTCGTGGGTAGCTCTTCGGATATATTTGCAAGAATATTGTTATTGTAGCATGAACAACACAAAAACCAAATATTTACAGGAATTTAACGCTAAATTGCTTTTCCTGAATGGAAATTATCATCATGCAAACATTGTACACATGTCAACAAACAAAATAAATAATAACAATGATTTATAATACATTAAATGTCAGTTATCGAATCCATCAAGAACTAAGTGAAGGTTTGAGTTGATAATTGCAATGGTTAATAATCCTGCCATGTTGTAAAGAGAACAAAGTATTAGAATAACCGATGACAGAAACGCCTGAAATAGAAAATATGTCGAATTTTCAATGATTTACCTAGCTGAGACAGTCAAACAAAATTGGATCTGATGGAATAATAGGTTGTCAACTTGTAGTCTGTTCTGGATCCTTTCCTGTACACAGAACTTATTGTTAGAGTAAACAAATAAAAAAATAAAGTTGGAGCAGTTTTAATAATGTTCAGATATATACTTTTGGATCTCTGATTCTTCTCCCAATAACCTTTCGACCTAGAATTCAAAACTCCTTTTCGCCTGATCTTTGCTGGGTCAGCCACAGTGTGATCACTTTTTTATGGTTTTTTCTTCTTTGTTTTTCTATGAACGTTAGGTGTTTCCCCAGCTTTTGATTCATCAAGATCAACTGATAGCTTTTTAAATGTTTCCCAAAACAACTGTTCGTTAAGTTCGTCGCATTCTGCTTTATTTATTAGTTGATATGCAAACTTCTGAGATTGATAACGAAATAAAAGACCACTAGAGGAAGCAGGCGTCATTTGAGACTCCCCGAGATGTTTGTATTCAAATCCGTTATAGATGTTCCTTTTAGCATGGACAAACCATCGCATCAACAAATACTTCTCAGGAATAATATTTATGTTAAGCACATTAAGAAGATGCAGTTCATGCGAACACAACATTCCTTTCATTTCAAACATCCTGCAACTGCAGATTACATCGGAATTAACACTGTCAAAATTCACTATCTATTTCTTCGATGTGTCATCGTTATCCAAATTACGTATGTAATACTTTGATCCACTTTCTGCGACGAATTCAAGCGTAAGTCCACACAACACATTTAGCTCTTGCTCGAATATTGAGTAAAGTTTCCTCGTATAAAATGAGGAAGCTTGCCTCAAAATAGGGTTGACTTTAACAATCAGCGTAGTGACAAATTGACCACATTTGACATCTTCATTATTGTCATTCCTGTGTCATGATTTAATTATATTTTCAAGGTCGATAAAACAATCTGTCAAAGAGCTTGTGGGCTTCGAAACACCATGACATACATTATTAGTGGAATCACTTCTTTGAGTTGATAGGATTCTTATTCCAAATATTTCTTTATGGAAGGCAGTAAACTATTTGTGTTTGATTCTGTACATGTCATGCAACCACACATTACTATGTAGGTCACCAACTTCAATCATTAATCATTAATGACCAAATCATTAATGACCAGGTATCTTCAAACTCCTCCGAATCATATTTACTCATGCACTTATAAAATAGTCCGGTGACGCTCTTGATTGCAACTCCACAATGCACTTTTGAAGTAATTTTTTTGTATATATGTCATTGGCATAATCTGTGCCGTGTTTGTGGGAGACAATCTTCAATGGCACTTGCCATAGCTTGGTCCTGATCAGTGAAAATACTTATTGGATGTTTGTCACCCATTATAAAAGCTTTGAATAACCATTTAAATGAATCAATAGTGTCCTCTGACAAGAAGCTAACACCAAACAGGAAGTTTTGCCAGTGGTGGTTAACTCCCACAAAATGAGCGCAACATAAATTATACTTATTTAATCTATAGCTTGTATCAAAAATTATAACATCACCAAAACAGTCGTAATCTAACATGGATAAACCATCACTCCAAAAAAAACTTGCAAACATGTTATCGTTGTCTTGCCTCTCCATGAACAACTGTATTAGAGAGTTGACATCTATTATCTGTTTGAAAATCTCATTCAAACATGTTATCGTTGTCTTGCCTTCCATAAACAACTGTATTAGAGGGTTGACATCTCCTTGTTCAATTTTTTCTCTTCTTTCTCTTTGAATGAAATTGAATGCATCACTCTTAGTGCATTCTAAATTTTCTGCTCCCCCAACTTCAAGGACAATGAAATTATATGCATCCGTTGCTCCAATCCCTGCTCTTGTCATCGATCTTAGCACATCTGCATTTAGGTCACTTATCCTTCTACCATAATGAACAAACCTAAAACCTAATATCAAAAAACAGAGTAACCCCAGCATAACACCAGAATAACACTAGAATAATACAGTAAAATCTATCATAATGCACAAGAATAACACTAGTTTGATGTCATTCTAAAACACCACAAGCAAACTAGAAAATAACACCACAATAACAATCAATATAATATACAATATAACCCTACCAGTAACACCACTAAAACCAACCATAACACTACAGTAATGGAAGAATAACACAATAAAATATTTAAATAACACAACAACAAAACTACCAAAATACACCATATTACCATTACCATCTACAGCTGAATAAAACCACTATTAGACCACATTGAAAACCCTAAATCCTGAACTAAACAAAAACAAAGTAACTCGGCGTAACACAATAATAACACCGTAAAACCTAGCAAGCTTGCATAAAAGTAACACTAAACTAAAACCCCTAAACAGTAGCAGAACGAAAGTGAAACCTGAGCTAACAGTAAAACTCACTTCTTTTTCGAAGTTCGGAGAAAATGTTGGCGGCAATGTATCCATCATCTCGTCGTTTGGCAAGGACTACATAGAAGGCGTAAACCCTAAACCAATGAAACAGTAGGTGCTCAGCTGCGCGCGGGAGGGAAAAATAGCCAGATAATACGCGAAAAAGTTTTTGCGAATTGGGTTTGGGTCGGGCCGGCCAGCTGAGTGCGCGTTTTTTTTTAAAGGGGAGTCCAGTGTTGCTTGCCACGTGTGTCCATCGCATTGGAATCCAAATGTAGAGAGCCATTCGGAGTCTTGATAGAATAATTCATCACATAAAAAGACTACTGTGACTGAAATATCTATTCAACATATTCATAAGTGAAGGTTATGTCAGCTTTCCATTTTCAGATAGGTTGTATTATCAATACTAGTTAAGTGTATTATTGGCATCTCCCTTGATGCAGTAGCGGCTCATGGTTTTCCATTGGGCACGTAAAGTTCAAAAATCACTTGTGCCCTGTTTTCTCTAATCCAACTACTTTCATATAAAGCTTATTTTCACTGCAAATTTTCAATTTGAGTTAATACACTATATCTTCTAGGGCAAATACACCTCGCTTATATAAGCAACCCTCATCATCTCACAGGGTAAAGAAATTCGTTCCACAATGAAGACAAGTAGAAATATATAAACAGTACCTTCGAGGATCTAATTGCGATGCCGAAAGTAGGGTCGATGGAGGCGGCCATGGCTGCATCAGCAGCCTGATCAGAGCGGAAAGTCACATATCCGGAGCAGTTCTCATCGATTCGGGTGCGGGAGATAGGACCATACATCTCAAAGCGCGATTTAAGCTCGAGGACCGTGCAGTCTAAGGGGAGACCAGTAACCATAATAGAGGACGGCGATGACAGGGAGGAGCCCCGTTCTCCGGCGGCAGGTAGATCTAGCGCCTCGCCGTTCGATAGCGGCAACCGGAGTCGCTTCGTGAGTGAAGAAGGAAGATTCGGATTTCCCCGTTTCATTGTTCTCCGCTCCATGGTGCCGTCGCTACTGCTATCTAGCCTGCAGCTAATGCAGCTAAGAAAGAGAGTTGGAGATGCGGCGGCAAGTAAACATCACAAGTCAGCAGCAACACAAAAATAGGCATATATAATGATATAAATGCATATACATTTATAGGGTGGGTGTGAATGAAAATATAATGACATTGATTCTTGATATTTTTGACATGTGAAAATCACTTCATTAAAAAATAAGAGAGCAACTGATATGCGATCAACTAATTTTTATCATCCAACTCAAATCTCAAAGCATGACATAGATCTCGAGACAATATTTTGAACAAGAAATATTCAAACTGATAACGAGTCATCAATAAATCTAATTTCAGCAAACTAACAGTCAAACTAACCAACACAACGAGACGAACCCAATAGTATTGGATTTGGTCAAATCCAAGTCAAAACAAGCTTAGATTAAGTCATTAAACCACTTTTGAAGTTTTTCGTGCATATTTAGGAGATCAAACGAATGTCAAATCTGGTGCGCTCATAGTCGAATCAAGTATGTCGACAAAAGAAATCCAACGAGTTTAAGATCGCTTAATTCTGACATCATTGAGGCTCTTAAATGTTCACCAGTAGATGTCTAATCGAGGGAACTTCTTTGGGCGCGTCCAATCAAAGTGATTTATATTTTATTCGTTAGTTGCAACCAAGATTCTATAAAATAAGAGGGAGGGAAAGGGAAAGAAAGCTTTGAGGACTAAGGAAGAGCTTAAAACTTTGAAAAGAAGTTGAAGTACAACATTACTCCTGCTGTTGTCGACCACTGTCAATCATCGTCGACCACCACTAGGAGACTGTCATCGATAGCTATCAGTCGTTGCTCATTCATTGCAACATGTTCATCGATATTGTAATTCAAAAGAGTTTATAACATTTTTTCGTCTGTGGAACAAGAAATCTATACACATCAACTTATAATTTAATTTTACAACTGGGTCAGACCCCGTGATTTTTTCCTTCACAGTTTTTTCACATAAAAAAATTTAGTGTCTCTAGTGGTTGTTTTTCTTTCACCTAAATGTGTATTGATTCTCATGCAACATCAAAACGACAATCCATTACTTTACCAACTCGATCTTCTAGCAAGCATCAATAGTAATAATTGAAGCGCTAACATTTTTTTCTTTTTTGCCCAAATATTTGTGCATTTAATAATAATAGATGGGTTGAGTTAGAAGCAAGAACATTCTCTCTTTTCTCCCACACCACATCAACTTTAGCCTCCAAAAGAAGCATAAATTAAGTGGGAAGCACCTTTATCTTGTCATATCTCCCCTTCTTCACTTTATCCCCAGTCTCAATAACAATGGTTGAGTTAGTGGCAAAAATATTCCACAACTTTATTCTCCTTCCTTTTCTTATACACAAAACACTAAATAAATTTATCTTCATTAACAACCATCAGATGCCAACTTTAGCTCATTAGACGATGGGACTAGCAACAAGTTTTACTTGCTAAATGACTATGCTGATTTACAGAATTTAATTTTAAATCATTCAGGATTCCAATAAATATTGCTTTTTTACTGTGTGGCGGCACTCAGCCATGGCGGCGCTCGTGAAACCGCTATTCTGCGCGACGGCTCAGGCCGACGCTACAAGAAACCGCACCAGCGGCAACAGCGGAGGTTCGAATGAGCTTTCTTCGCCCCAGCGCTCGAAGAAGAAGAAGCTCGACGCAACGAGCTTATCGAGTCCTTCAAATCCTTTCGTGAAGCACTGCGTCAAGCTCCGCCTTAGCTCTTCTTATCGCCGCTCTTGCGGTTCTGCTCTAGTCGTCGGCCTCACTCCCATAATGTAAGCCTTCAATTCTCTGTAAACCCTACGGGCGGATCGATAGATAATCGGCCCTCTTGTTTTGTTCATTCTTCTCAAATAATAATAGGAATACTTGTGTGGTTGTGTTGGTTGTTCGTTGCCAGAGTATTATATTAGTCGGCACTGACAATTATTTATTGTTCACATCTTACAATGATTATTTTTGTTATCTTACACTGAAAATTGTTTGTTGTTCATCCATTACATTTGTCACGCTAACTTCCTCGTTTCTGCACATCAATCAATTTGCACTGTAAACTTGTTGTTTTATTTATAAATCTTGACAAATCATACACTTGTTTTTGGGGCTGTTTCGCAACAAGTAAGATTTAAGTCAGGTAGTATTTGTTAAATTTGCAAATATAGATTTAATTAAAGACCGAAACAACTTTGATAGAGGAACACTTGATTGTGGGTTTAATTGGATGAAAACAATGAGTATCTTTCTATTTAGGCATCACGATGTGGTGGTGAATAGTCATACTCATGCGGAAGTGGTCGAGGCAAGGAGGGCGGTGATCACTATGGTGGCGCTAGGATGTGTACTGAAATGAGTATTATTTTGTGGCCAATGGTGTAGTTGGGGAATTAGGCCAAAGGCTGTATGAAGTGTGCAGGGGCAGGGGAAAGTGGTATCAGATGTGTAGGGTTGTGAAAATAGAGAATTGGGCCTTGGTTGGCCTTGCAAGGTTGAAGATCAAGAACACTCTCAAGGTGTTTTTGGCTTTCAAGATGGTGTCAAAAGTCTTTGTGAAGGTCACTTGGGATTTTGGGGAATGTGTGGAGATGAAGAGGGTGTAGGGATGGTGTTTGGAAGGTGGCGGGGTAGATGAAATTGAGAGCTCTAGGGGTTTGGAGGTGTTGAGATCAAAGCAACCCCACAAGAGGGATTGTCTTGTTTAGGATGAGATGAATGTGACGGAAGATGAATGGTGTTTGAGGAGGTTGATAGATAAGATTGAGATTTAATTACAACAAGGAAAATAACAAAAAAGATAATGAGTAAACTCTCACCAAAGAACTAATGTCAGTTGAGATGCACTCAAATTTTTTGGGTGCGTTGAGGTGGTTGTTCTTTTTTGAAGAAGCAGCTGTGGAAGGAGTTTCACATCTGCTGTCAGAAAGTTGTTGCTAGAGTATCAATCAATTTGTTAAATAATCTACTTTGCTGCGGGTGTTTATGATAAAAATGATAGTTATGTTTTTATAGATATAAATTAATTGAACGATTGAAGTTTTTAAAATAATTATAACAGAACAGCATAAATGACTTCAACAATAAAGAAAACACATATGAAGTCCAATTGTCCCAATACACCAATTTTAAGACATCACTTTACACATAATTTCATAATAATAAAAATTATTAATGCTATAAACACATGCACCTTCATGTCCAAACGATCAAATCTTTGGAATAATTTTTTGTCCATAGCATTTCTTCTGACTTAATTACTATATGGAGTGAAATCCTCTATATTATCAGTCCATTGAAAAATCATACAATTTTCACGCGTCTTATTTCTGGGATAACAATAAAATCTCATCCCATAACTGTCTTCTCTTATTGATGTAAATTCAAAATACTACATATCACAATGATGGTACAGAACTCTAGAGATCTTCATGACATTGAACTCATTTTTCATGATATCGTAATATGTTATGCTTTTAATCTCAAAATTAAACTATATTTGTAATATAATAAAAAGAAAATATTATGGTTCATGTTAAAAAATATATATATATATATAAGAAAAAACTATGCAACTCTAAAGTTATAACAATAAAAATTAAAATCTCAAAATGTAGAAGAGAAATTTAGCAATAGTAAATTCTCAATACATCTCAAATAGTAGACATCAATCAGAAGACACTACAAAATATTAGTTACATATACTCGATGGATTTGCTATCTGTAATTTCTTGTCTCAACTGGATCATCTCCCAAACATCATCTCCATTGGCTATGTTAAAGTCATTCACATCAAAGTCTTCCTCAAATAATTATTGTCCTGCCTGGTTTTTGAATGCTTCTACAGTGTTGAATATTCATCTAAGACCCTAAAGTCAACATCGAATCGAGATAGACCTCTCCGCATAAAATTATGTAAAGCTGCTATTGCAACAATTATATTTATCTATTTTTCGAAGGAATGTATTAGCATATCTCGGAGTGTGATCCACTTCTTTCATATATAAAATCCTCTCTCGAGAACACTTCATAATGATGATTGTATTTTCTTGAACAATTCATTTCTCTCTGTGATCTCTCGGTTGCTGCGCTCAAAATCAGAAAGATGATATATCTTATCGGGGAAGAACTTTAAGAAACCTTTTGTATGTGATATGTCGAATTGACGGGATAATATTTCTTTAAATAATAATATTATTAGTACATCATTTCAAATTTAACTTATTATATATAATAATGAGTGTACTAACCGGGTGGAGACATTGAAAATTTATATTCATATCGTTGAGTTGCAAATTTGAATATGCGACTATCAGGAGCACTTATTCTCATTCAACCATTAAGAAGGTAAAACATATGTTGAAGTGACAAACTTCAAAGATATTTTGTGTTGTGGATTCACAACGTCCGATATATGCAATCTTATCATTTTTTTTAACATGTATGCCATCTATTGCTCTTATACATTGTTGTTTAAAATATGCATGATAATAAATTAGTTTTGATAAACATGCATGTAAATTAAATAGATAATACAATCAGTAACTTGAAGAACGATATGTATCTCATATGGTTATACATTTCTCTCGGTGTATGCCCAAAAGTAAGATTTAGTGGCTTGACAATATTGTTTGTCATTTTAACCAAAGAGTTAACCTCAATATTGAAATATCTACTAATCATCTTGGTTGAATCTGTAGTTGCTAGGAAGTAGCGCGAAGGGATTGATTATGTGACATAATATATAAAGCGATGACTAGTACTTCCCTGGATGAAAATTGAGATGATTCATACAAACTATTTTGCAATTCATCCAAAAAATCACAAAAAAAAATTTCAGGCATCCGAAACATACTATGAATTATATCTAAATGACCTCGGAGCAGCTCATCAATCCATCTGTCACCCATAGATGAGGATGACTCACATAGTGTCTTACACAAATGTTTGATAGTACTTTCAGCTCTTTCAGCTTATAGAATGGGTTTTTCTGCATCTCAATTGTTTTTCTGTCATTGTGCATATTTTTATGAAAAACAATGTAATT